AGCTCTGAAACTTAAATGTAATTCGTATATTTAATTAAATCGGCGGCGAAAATTGTAATCACTATCTCCCCCCCCCCCATACAGGCCCTCATGATAGCCTGGCTATCAGACTATGTAGTTTTGGCTAGATTTGCACAACTAGTCTCACTCCCGGCAACTTACAAGCATTTAACGACAGGTTGCAGCTGAGTTTGCTTGTCATCGACTGGTGATAGCCTGGTTATCAGACTCTATGAGGCTTGGTTAGAATTCACAGATAGTCTCTGATGACTAGTATCCCAGCAACATAAAACACGGTTGGCTGAGAATTGTTTGGAAAGCCTTGGATTTTGCTAGCCTGGCTATCAGACTCTGGGTATTCTGTAGGATTCACAAAAATATAGCTATAGTCTCTGAATAGTCTTGCTCCCAGAGACCTCACCACCGAATCAAAAACCAATCTACTTATACCATACTCTATGTTAGAAATGGTTTTATAAAGTTGTCAAAGCTATACATATTCACACTTAATACACGAAAAACGATAGTCAAGCATGCTTTTAAAAATAAGTGAGGTTCCCCCCCCTAAACCCCCGTTTCTTAAATCTTGCTTAAAGTTAACAATTTTTCATCTTTACACATCTATACACCCCTTACACGTTTACGTAAAGATTGTCATTACGTGGTCCACTAGCGTTTAGAATTTGAAGATGACACGTGCATTCCAAGATAAGAGAGTCTAGATGTGTAAAGATGAAAAATTGTCAACTTTAAGCATGATTTAAGTAAATGAGGTTTTCCCCAATTTTTCATCTTTACACATCCATACACCCCTTACACGTTTACGTAAAGATGGTCATTACGTGGTCCACTAGCGGGAAGATTTTGAAGATGACACGTGCATTCCAAGATAAGACAGTCTAGCGACTATCTCAGGATGAGTCTGTTTGTCCTAGTGACGACCCTCTTTCGGGTACGTGGTATTTGCTGGGCGACGTGAGAAACTTCACCAACTTTCTTATCTTCAGCGATTGGAAGGATAAGACTGTTAAAACACTATATTTGACGTGTAAGGTTAGTATTATGGTATTATACGGGTCAGTACGTGTAGACACTTTTGCATGAGTGATACGATCCAAAAGGGCGGACATATATGCAGACATATACTGTACTGATGTTATATATGTTTGTGATACCATGTATGTGTAAGAATATATATGCATATATTTTATTCCAACATGTAATGAGACGTGGTGACGGCAAGTTTTTTCAACTTATATTAATGCCGCCACCAACACGGGGGACAATACAATACTCATTTTCACCTGAGCGAAGTGAGGAAAGTCGTCTTAAGTGCCTTTCCCAAGGACACAAGATCGGTGGCATGTCATGACTCGAACCCGGGACCTCTTGATTCCGACTCGAGCACTCTGCCGCTACGCCACGCCCGTTTCCAAAAAAAAAGTTTTCAACCATACTGTAAATCGTACAAAACAGTTGCAAAAGGAGCAAATGTATACCGTAAGTTGCAAAAAAAATAATCGAAAACGATGCCAATGTCATATAGAATGCCAAAATCAAACGAAAAAGACAAAAATGTAAAGAAATGAATTTGAACAAAATATCATTTGCTATACCATACTGATCTGTGTCATTTGTTCAACCTGAATAAATGAATGAATGAATGATTGAATGAATGAATAAAATAGGACAAAACCTCATGGTTCGTCCTCAGTCTGAGGTCGTCCGTTACTAATTTATAGCTCAGAAATGTCACGTCTGAACTATACCGTAGACTTGTAATTGTCTAATGAGCTGAAAAGGTCTTTTCAAAAAGGACAATGTTGTAACTCTTCAACAACCATGTCAAGAGCGACAGTATTTATGTGAGCTCTAATTCAAATGACAGTGTCCCGGGAGGGAGGTCGACCTAGCCTGGCGGGGCGCCATTTTATAGATCAAAGGGGCCGCCGGGAGACATGACACCTGGTGACGTCACAACCCTTTGAAGGTGTCGCCACGAAATTTGATACCGATGGTTTGTATCGAAGTGTTTAATCATTGGTGAATCATGACGAGCTATCATCTCAACGTAAATCAGATAGCTTCTCAAGAGCAATTAAGGGGACCGGCATGCCGCTGCAGTACAATAAAAGCTGCTAGGCGGCCAAAACCTACTTCGTCAAGAGCTATCTGCCACCCATGACCATTCATATGACCCTACTATGTCCAGAATATGAGATTTGAAGCACGTTTTGCTGAAGTACCATAGTAAAACCGCTTGGTGGTCCACATCAAAATGTACTGTACCCGATTGCCACCACTGTTATCGTGAAGTAGCCTCTACCAGGCTTCTGGAGGCGGGTGGAAAGAGTAGAAATCGGCCAAATAGAGATATAACATGCCAGGGGGTGGGGTGGGGGATGGCTATCTGCTGGGAGAGAACATTTTGGCATTCTAGATTCTCTCTATTTGGACGATTTCTACCCTTTCCAGCCGCCTCCAGAAGCCTGGTAGAGGCTAATCGGAAGGTCGATCGATCAGTTGTCCGATATTGTCTGACGATGAAAAGAAAGACACAAGGTGTCAGGTTATAGGCGATTTATAAGCCGTTTATGTCGCATGTTCTGTGGTGGAAGATCAGGGTTCTTAATTACAGACATCAAAGATTTCCGATTATAAATGCATTCATCATTAGCTGACAGAAAGGCCGATTGGGAGATAGGACCAAGAGTTTGTAGGTCATTATGCTGTAGCGCAGGAATAAAGGACTCTCTCTCTCTCTCTCTCTCTCTCTCTTCTCTCTCTGCACCGTGTGCGTGCGTGTGTGTGTGTATGTGTGTGTGAGTGTGTGTATGTGTGTGTGTATGTATGTGTGAGTGTGTGTGTGTGTGTATGTGTGTGTGTGTGTGTGCGCGCGCGCACGTGTGTGTGTGTGTGTCTGTGTGCGTGCGTGCGTGTGTGTGTGTGTGCGTGTATGTGTGTGTGTGACAGTGTGTGTGTATGTGTGTGTGTGTGTGTGTGTGTGTGTGTGTGTGTGTGTGTGTGTGTGTGTGTGTGTGTGTGTGTGTGTGTGTGTGTGCGTGCGCGTGTGTGTTTTCCCCCAAACACATAACCTTAATAGTTGAATAATCTCGAAAATATAATATGTATCTAATCTTGGTCCAAAACGTAACCTACAGGCATTATCCAGATGAGGTGAAAATTGTCCAGGGCAACGTGTTCTCAGTCACAGATCGAGATTGGCAGGACACATTGGGGATACACGCCAACACGCTTATCACGAGCGACACCTAGCGGAAATACGTGCAGTTGTTGCTAACTAGTACATACGAACTTCGTTGATTTGATTTGATTTATTAGGCTGATAACACATATGTATGCAGCCAGGACTGCCCAACTAGCCGGAGGCTATTATAAAGGGCTAGCCCTCACAACAAGAATATAAACAATTCGGAACCCTCACAACAAGAACATAAACAATTCGGAACAGTTAACAGTGTCAGTTACAATTCAGATAAACATACTACTACAGTTGTTACAACCAAATTCAGAAGAAATGGCAATTATCAAAAGCAGATACAAGAGGAAATGTACAACTAACACAAATTGTGGCTGAAGAAATAGCAACTCCAGGTTTGAAAATTCACAAAAGGACCGCCTATCTTTCTCTCTATACTACGTACTGACACACATGATCGTGAAGAGAGGCTTTCTCACCAAAACTTAGCTGGCGGTCAAATGTTGAAGTATATGAAACCCAAATTGTTCAAAAATTAAAAAAAAAAACATAGAAGCTGAGAACGTACTAGAAAACGCTGGATACAAAAATATTCATTGTTTTTTTTCGCCTATGTTTAATTATCCTTCATTATTTCGAACGTATCAATGATAGTGCTACAAAAGGCGTGACCACGATTCAACTGACGCAAACCACCTGCTCGACTTAGGCCACAGCACGTAAATTTTATGGATGACATCCTCCGTAGACTCCAAATCTGATGCGAGCGGGCGAAAAAAAACAAGGCGGGCCGAAAAAAACAAGGTTCCTACAATTTAAAATTTTTACTCAATCAGTGTACAAATGGTTTGATTCAGTGCGAACATCACATATACACAGCCAACATCACATATTACCGCTTCAAAGTAAGAAACAAAACATTAAATCATGGCCTTTTCTCTTCATAGTTATCTGCCATCCACCTTCCGGCATGGCAACAGACATATCTGTCCATTTTCGGCATGTTGACCACTGTCAGAAGGCAACAAAATCTCTTTTTTTTTTCGAAAATCAGGCGAAAATTAATGCGCGCGTCGATGTCATCCATAAAAATTACTTGTTGTGGCCTTATCGTGTTTTGGAGAGCAACACAAACATGGAAAACAACAAATGAACCCAAAGGTCGTGGTCTCTGTGGTTGAAATTGTCTTCGCCCTACGTCATTTCCGTTCCAGTGGCTACACTTGACGCAAGTGAACGACGCCTAGAACATACTAATGACTTGACTTGATTTCATTCATCCGCTTTTCCAAATATTTACGTACACATCGTTGAAGAGGTTCATCAGTCACGTATAGATTAATTAAGAGTTTGTAGAATTGTAAGAAACAGGAGGCAAGCAGTAGAAACACGTTTTCTAGTACGTTCTCAGCTTTTTTTTTAATTTTTGAACAATTTGGGTTTCTTATACTTCAACATTTGACCGCCAGCTACGTTTTAGCGATGTTTCAATTACTGGTATATTCTTTAAAAAAAAAAAAGAATCCGCCAAGAAATAAGCCTAACCCTGACCTTAAACTGGGGTTAATGTTAGTTTAGAATGGCGAGTTCTTTTCCTACTGTATTTAAAGACTTTTATCTGGACAAGGTTAGCTCTTGATTCAAGACCGCTTCGCGTATTTAAAGGTCAAAAGATCACTTCAATAGTTGTTGAAGTACGATAATAACAGGTTGATAACATTAACGCCATCGACCAATCAAACGCGTCCATTGCAGCACGCATGCCCGGGATTTAATTGGGCCGAGGGAATGTTTGTAGGAATGAACACAGACTGGTTCTGAGCCCAGCGGCAGCTGAGAAAACATGTGCGAGCAAGGTACTGTACGATTCCCAGCTCTCTCTTACTCCCTTTCCTCTGTTTTGCTTCTTGTTGCTTCGAGATTTTATCCACCGAGGCTGACAGTTTTTTTCTGGGCGTTTTTTTACGTGTAGGGCCCCTACTTTGCTGCGCGGGCTGCCGGTATCCTATCATCAACGAACCGATTCTAGAGGCTCTCAACGGCGAGTGGCACGCCAGCTGCTTCAGGCAAGTACACACACAAGCCTTTCGTTTGTTTTCAACGGTTTGGTAACGTGTGGAAATTGACGATGACACGCAGAGACCCTGAGAGGTCTCGCTAAATCAGATTTAGCGGTTTAAATTGTGTGTGTACGTGAGAGCGCTAGTATTAAGGGGGGAGGGTTGGAGGCAAGAGTGATCAATGATTTGATAACGGTGGACGTTCCGATTTCTCTCCTTCCGGTTTTCGATATCTTATCCACAACAACAGATGTTGTGATAAAATCGCATGCCTTTTATTCCGTCTTTGAAAATGATAAAAAAGGAAGACTTACCCCCTACTTAGTGAATACATTATGCTTGATAATTTTTCGAAACCCTTAGTAATATTATGCTATAAATGCTGGCACGTGGCCAAAAATATTATGGTCAAGCGCTAGGCAACAGAATACATTTTATTTATGTATCGTTTGTGCTTATAGGAAATATGTAAATACGTACCAATCTAGATATCTAACACATGGCAAAGGAATGCATGTCGAAATGTGCTCTATTGTATTTTGTGTACGCCCTTTTGTATACATGGGTATGGGTGGGCATGGGCAACCCGGAAGTGATATGTCAACAACCCACACCACCAGATGACATCACACGTTAGTCGCTGATGTCACTTTCTAAATATTGACTCGAGCTTCTGTATATTTAGCTTGTATTTAAAGAGAACGTAGCAACAATGTGTTGGAATTCCGTGACAAGGCTTCTTAAAATTCCTTGAGACAAAAGAGAAGACATAACAATGTATTCAGGCATTTTTTTAGGGAAGAGAAACTCCACATTCACTCATTACATATAAACTTGTCACCATTAATAATATGAAGAGGATGCTATTTTAGACCATTATAAAAGAAAAATAGTTTTGTGCAGTGTTCAGTAATGTATGCAGAACTTCCAACATACATACAAAATAATTGTAAAATATTAGTAATGTATGTATTTAGTCTTGTATGAAATTAAGATGATATTGCTAGGTACAAAAAGTAATTAAGAGTAAAAAAGAAAAGAAAAAGCATTTTTTTCCATCTTCTGCCTCTAGATAGATTTTAAAATTAAAGCAAAAATGCTGCAAAATGAGCCGATTTTACGGTAATGCACCGGACATGAAATATCTCTTTCATCATCAATATTTTAAAACCTTTCGGGTCATAAGATTATGTTTCCAATAGGGGCGATAAAGAAAAATGTTTTATTATAAGCATAAACCTTTATCCCTGTGGACTGTATTGATTCAAAAATAAAACTCGTAAATGTTGTCAAAGTCTGTGAAGTGATATACAAGCTTTTAAACAAAATCTTTTCTTAATTTTAAATTGTGACAAACTCCCCACGGAAAGTCCAAAAATGAACTGATCTGTTCTTCTAAAATAACCTAGCTATGGCACACTAGGCATAGCGCAATGCATTATGCATGGATAATATAATAATTTATTTTATATAAGAAAGCAACCTGAAGTGTTACAGACATGATTCTTGCTCGATGTCGCAAAGCCTCCCCTTCGGCAAGATACAGGTATACTTCTCTTACTATCTTTAAATGTTTAAGCTCACGTAATTTTGCTTGAACTGCTTGCAAAAGCATTAAAGGGTCCAGGGTTTTATTCCCAGACATCATCACGTTTTCAATCTGGTATAACTGTACAAGCACGTTCTGACCAAACAGCTGTGGGGTAGAAACACGAAATGAAATGTTTTTATTCATAACAACAGGTGACTGTCTGTATACGTATCTGTAGTGGATAGGCTTTCATCTGAAACTCTCGAGCTAGTGTATCTGTATCTGTATAGCGGGTATAACCGCCCTTCTGCATGCGCACTTACACACCAGCTGCGCAGGCATGCGGTTTCGTAGTGCAGCTGGCTATATCACACAGAACGACTTGAAATATTAGGCTTTATTGCACGTCTAACTCTTAACATTGTATAAAGCTATAGTGACGATGCCTCTACTAGATATTTCAAGTTTTGTAGTGCAGATGGCTATATCAAACATAACGATTTGAAATATCTAGTACAATTGTACTAGGCTTTGCACATCTAACTCTAAACATTGTATAAAGCTTTAATAGTGATGATGCCCCTACTGTACTTGTACTTAGTTGGTGGCAGAGAGTTCTACTCTACAATAAAAGAGATTCATATCTATCTATCTGTGGTTGTTAAGTTAAATAACTTTAAGCTACAAGTTACTGTAAATTGTGAATTATTTGCAGTGGTTTTATTTCATACTACCCCAGTAGTAATAGGCGGAGAGGGAAGTTTTCATGATATTTTAGATTTGCGATTGAAACAATTCTGTAGTGCAGTAGACATATGTAATGACCATAGTACAAGCAGTGTCATTAATTTGCAGTCATTGCAAAAATAAAACCAGTTTCATGACTTACACACTATACCAGTACAAATTTTGTACGCCCTCTCCCCAAATGTTTCATTTTTGATTTATTTGTAACTTGTAAGGCTATTTTTTTAGCAATACAGCTAATGAAGATTGCAAGATCGCAATTGGAGATCGCAATTGGCTGGATCCATTTGGAACTGACCATTGCAGACAAGGTCATGGTCTGCATTTAGTATAAAGGGCAGTTTAGCAGTTAGACCACTCAGGTTTTACTGGGTCTCAGTTCTAAGTCTCCTGCCCATTTTTCAATGGCTTTGGAAATTTGCAAAATTATTCAGACTAATGCATGCTTAAAGTGTGATATCTTATATATAATAGACAATTTATAATACATAGATATAGGTTTGATAAATCTTGCTAGATACAACTTAGTAAACCTATACTAGTAGTAGTAGTCTAAGTCTAGGTGGCAATTATTGGTTAGTCTCTACCAGACTAACTACGCTGGCTATTATAGGAGAATATATTTGCCGGGGGAGTTTGGCCGCATGGTAGGTTTGACTGGCCGCAGAGGGAAAGAAACTACCTCCCCGCGGCCGGACTCCCTTAGCCAATTTTACTCTCTTTTTTTGCCAAATTCTACAATCTGTATTCCCGTAGAAAGGCCTGGTGGAGGCTGGCAATTGGTAATGTGTGGTAAGAACGTTTTGCTGTTTGGCGTGATATTTGGCAGTTACAGTTTAAATATCCCCGTCTGTATCAACGAGGTCAATGTTGTCTCGTTTGTCTCAGACACAGTCTTACTGTATTGATCATGACGTGTTCCAGCTAAAAGAGTTTGCTCGTAAATAGGAGACATAATGGCCTGTAAGATAAATTTGCTACCAACAGATGGCTAATTATAACAGCTATGACGAGAATACGAAATCATAAATAAGGTAACATTCGTCAATCCAAGGACATTAATATACAGAATGTGTAATGTCCTTGGTCAATCCAAAGCATCAAAGCAGAGATTTATGAACATATTATACACTTATACTGTATAACAGTTATTAGTGTAAAATTGTATATATAGTCTTTCCTCTTTTAGTAATTAATCCATCTTGACCAACATTTAAGATTTAACACGTCTAAAATATTAGAGTACGTTTTTTTAGATTGCTGAATAAAGTAGCCTGTGTTACACAAGCTCTCGGCCGGAGGTTAATGACCCACACCCCAAGGCGACAACGTGGGGGGGGGCAACTTGGGGGGGCGGCCGGCCGCCAGGAGCGCGATTAGTCAGGCTACTGAATAAGGAGGCTACTTAGAATTCTTCTTGAGGAATTTGACCACGACTGTTTTTATGATATTATGAGTTATTACATAATTGTATTTCTGAATTGCAGAAGAAAATTTTGACATTCTGCAATATTGCGGAACACTGAAAAAAAAAAGATTTCTACCTCTGCAAAGGCTTTAGCTTGTTACATTGTCAAAGAGCCTCAGTGCTGAGGACTTAAGCTGTATGATATGTCTATGCCCTCAGGTTGATTTCTTGTAGTCTCTACCAGACTAACTACGCTGGCTATATATAGGAGTCAGAATAATTGCCAGGGAAGTTTGGCCGCCTTGTAGGTTTGACTGACTGCGCAGACAGAAAGAAACTACCTCCCTGCAGCCAGACTCCCTTGGCCAATTTTAATCTCTTTTTTGACTAATTCTACAATCCAATTATTCCCGTAGAAAGGCTTGGTGGAGGCTAGATTTCTTGCATGTAGCATCTGGCATTGAGAGCCAGACAAATTACTGAAGTGGAGTCACACGTACAGAATAAATCTATCGGCGCGAACAAATTGCAGTCAACCTTTTCTTGTCGTTAAGGGCGAAGGGGAGATAACATCGCCTTCCGAATTTTGAGTAGGGAGTCTAATTAGCGTGATAGTAGATTATCTAGATTTTGCAGAGATTGTATTTGAAGGGCATTATGATAGACATCAAGGGTCATTTGTTAAAAAATCAAAAGTATCATGACTTTGTTGATTTTTGTAAATCAAAAGTATTTTTTTTATGTTGATTTTATTGAGACTAAAATCCCACACACAAAATATTAACTATTCCTAACATATGCCCACACTTTATATTTCCTAACTACACTTTTACTTAATTATGTTAACTTAATATTTTGTCTCCTGTTCTTTCCCCCGACAATATTGGGGAGCAAATTTTGATTATTTCTATTTCTATAATGACATCCAAATGAAAGTTGCAGGGCAACAATTTAAGTAAAGTTTATAAATTGGAAAAGTTAGTCAAATATTGCTAATATTTCTTGACCCTAATTTGATTGTGTTCTTACTACCCCTTTCTCTCTCTATATATATATATATGGCTAAAATCTTAATTTTTTTCAGTTTTAGGGTTCATTATCTGATGTTTGCAACAGTTCTTGTAAGGGAGTATGTAAAAATTGAGTCATGAACAAAATAAATTGATAAATTATACCATCAATTTTTATATCATCAATTTAAAACTAGAAGGCTTTATGCATAGTGCATCTCTTCTATGTATTTTCGTTTTAGGTTAAACAGCATTTATGATTTAAGCTATCGAATGAAAATTGCTGGTCAATATCAAGATAAAATGCAAAGTATGATATTGCTGATATTTCTTGACCCTATGTCACATTTGATTGTATTTTAACTTTTACTCTAGAAGGTTACTATATAGGTTCATTTTATATTTACTGTTTTCATTATTGTACTAGTAGCCAGTTGCAACTGTTCAGGAGATACGTGTGTATATGTAAACAGATTCGATTATTAGGCATCAAAAACATACATCAATTTTAAAACCCATTGATGGGCTCCATTTAGACTTTCTCTTTTATGATGTTTTCTTTTCAGGTAAAGCTGAAATGATAGTACTGTTACAGTACTGTAGTACTTTATGCCAATCTAAATTGTGATGGAGAAAGCAATTGACGTACAAAGTGGTCTGGAGCCAGACTGACCTGTCACTCAGCCTATAACGTCATTCTTATTGATCTGCAGGGTTGGCTTCTTGACAAGATGTCAATTTCTGGTCCAAGTTAGACCATCTATCACCTGAAGAAATTGGCCTAATTGACAGGAAATATTGTCAAGGGAACCAATGATGCAAAAATGTGCCGTTTTTGAGTATAATGTGAAACATATGAGTAAGCATATTATCAATCATGGGGAGGAAAATTAATCATGGCCATCAATTTTCATATTATATTCATATGCTATTTTATATAAGTATAACATTGCACATTGTTGATTAAAGAATATATGACCTCACTACATGTAATAAACTTCATTGCATATATTAGGTATAACATAAAATTGGCATTTACACTTCACAATAAAAACATACTATGAGACTAATCTCACCATACAAAAGACTAGTACTAGTAAGTATAGAGTATGGGTGAGAACGTGCTTCAATTTTAGAATTATCATTATATTGGTGGAATTTCCAACATTTACAAGTATATATATAGGCATTTTTTAGAATATTGCCTTACATTTACACTATGCAAGTCACAATTTTTGTCAATATGTTCTTGAATAATTTCAATCCATAAAAGACAATAGACTTGTATATAGTAAATTATGCATATCAAAATATCTTTGAAGTTGTATACAATGAAAAAGTGATATTTGTCTCATTACCTAACTAACAGATACCTGTTGTTGTTTATTCCAGGTGCTCAGTGTGTAACCTAATTCTAACGACGTGGTACTTTGAGAAGGATGGCTACCTGTACTGCAGAAGAGACTACTGGGCGCGGTTCGGCCAGGCATGTCACGGCTGTGCCCAGGTCATCACGGGGCCCATTATGGTACGTGACCCGGCGGCCATCTTGCTTCAGGTGGCAGGGCTAGCTGCGCTCAAAATACTGGGTGCATGTGCACCTTAGTGCACCCAAATTTGGAGCTGTGAACCTATCAATTTTTTTCTGTGGGTGCACCAGTGCACCCAAATATTTTTGTAGGAATTTTTCATATATTTTCAAATATTTTCATAAGTTTACGTATGTCGAGATGTTAAATGTATACTATGTGCATATTCTTAATATCCAAGTGTCAGAAAAATGATAAAATTATTGATAGTACTTCTCTTCAGTAATGGATCGGAAAATATTAGTTTTTGCTGAGTCAGACATTCTATGTACTTATCTTATCTTATGTGGTGCACCCAAAAAATTTTTTGTGCACCCAATTCTTTAGGTTACATGTAGGTGCACCAGTGCATCTATTCCCAAAATGAATTTCGAGCCCTGGGTGGCCATCTCAAAATGGTTGCCATCTTGACATAACAATGACAGTAAATTTTCTCAGAATGGGCATTGCAGTCGTTAGGACCTCAGACCATTTGGTAGTGTAGTGTGGGCTAATGTTGCTTGAAAAAATGCTTGCAGGGTATTTTACAGTTTAGCCATTAACATTAGATGAATGCCTATAGATATAAGGATAATGATTATTGATCAAAATCTTAAAATAAACAAGATTTACCTCAGGCGCTGTGCCAAAATTAAGTGACAGACACAGGGCTCACAATAATAAATTTGTGCATAATGCACTTTTGTGCATCAAAATTTGGAACTGTGCTGTACTTAAGTAATAGACTAGTAATAGAAAGTACCAGTGCAGCTAGATACTTGCATATGATTACATGTACATGTACTGGTATACATAAGGTAATATCTACATGTACACAGCATATTCTTGACATTTAAGCATCAGAAAAATAAGAAAACCTTAAAAGTTTGTTTTATCACTTGTTCAAAGTTCAAAGCAATAGATTTTATGACAATTTTTTCAATGCTGTCCTAGAAGGTGATTGTGAGTTAGTACGGCTTGCCGAGTCATACTTAATCTGAAGTTGCCCAACATTTTTCTGTGCACCTAATTTTCGAGAGCTTAAAGTAATGCATTATGGCATGAATTTGTAGGACAGGCACACCAGTGCACCTACTCCCAATATTGAGTTTCAAGCCCTGCAGACAGAAACCAATACAGACATTTTGTACAGTCTAGTGCAATTGACCATCATCTACATTAAAAAAAAAACAAGTCAATGGACTCTGTATGAAGTGAGGCATTACTTTAAGTTGAAGTTGAAAATAATGCCCACTCCTGGACCTGGAATAGGAAATACAATCTGTCGGTGACGTCTACACCCTTTGTTTGGTAAACTCAGAAGTGGGAAAATCCTGGTCCCTCTCACGTGTAGTGTTATTATGGGGTAACCAAGTCATCAAAGAAAATGTGGTAATCTTATACTGGTACCTGGGATCACGTTTTAATAGAAGACACTGGTAGGTTTCTAAAACGGTATCTCTCAAAGAGGGATTGTTTCTGAAATACCAAACCTCAGACAACTTCCTTCCCCTACCTAACACTTTGTTCCTTATGCACATGTTCAGTTGCTAAGCTATACAGGAAAATTGTGTTCTCTAGTAGACCATTGTACAACAACTTAATACAAGAATGCTCTCCTCAACACATAGGAATGCAGTGGGTGTATGAGCCAATAATTCATGTAATATTGTCATGCAACTAGGAAATTGAGACAGAACAACTCATTGAGCATATGATACCATCCTCTATTCATTTGAAGGATTACATTTGCTACTCTATCTGTTATTTGATCGTTATCACTAATTAGCCCAGTGATTGTAATTAGTTAAGCTCTTGAGTTTTCAGTTTGGTATGTGTGTGGTGTTCGATGTATTTTCAGAGTACAGTGCATTGAGTGTTTACTGAAAAGGTGTGGGTAGTGCTGTGTTACTGGTTCACTGGACCGGTTCCGGACTTGTAAAAATTTTTAGGTTCATTAGTAAAAAAAACCTACAAGTCAAGAACCGTTTCGGGACTTATTACAAAAAAGCCATGTCACATACCCCTTTTTCTTTCCACCTACCTGAAACCTTCTGTAGATTGCAAAATCTGTGCTTAAAAATAAAGAAAACATTGCCATCGGGCATCATCAAGTGTCGGCCTCCATGGTATATATGTGGCCAAAGTTTTGCCCAAACAACATTGCAAGGTTGCCAACATGCAATTTTGTATATACCATGGGTATAGGTCTGGACTTACAAGTCTGGAACTGAACCTAAAACCTCTGGACTTGACTCCGGACCTGAACCTAAATGTGGGTTTAGGTACACAGCACTAGGCGTGGGAAAACCAACCAAGGTTTTCCAGTGTATTGACAAAGCAGCCCAAGTTCCCCATACTTGATTCTGTGAAGTCACTGATGCAAGAAGTAGAGCAAATTCTTGTATCAAAGCGGAGTTTGGGGAAGTTATTTCTTTAATGGCAGTCTTCACTTGTTGAGGGATGAACAATATTTCAGAACACTTCGTTGAAAAAAGGTGTATGATAAGAATTTGGAATAAGAGGAACAAGAATAATAGGAATTTGCAATATGGCTAAGGTTTTATACAATCTGATGTATGATGTATAATGGTTTGCTAACGGAGCAAGAGGCCACTCAAGTTGTGTAAGTTAATTTGTCAGCTCCGCTTAACAAAAACATAGATATATAATTATTATGAATACCAGCTTTTCCCATCTTTGCCCACAACCACATTTTTTTCAAAGCATTGTTATTTTTAATATATCATGTCTGATACATACTTGGGTTGCTAACAGCAGTAATGTATAAGAATCCTTGTAACCATTCACAGAGCTTGAAATTCAGTTTTGGGAATAGGTGCACTGGTGCACACAATCCAAAAAAATTGGGTGCACAAAAATTTTCTTGGGTGCACCATAACGTTAATATAAGTATTAAGTAGAATGTCAGCAAGAATGAATTATGTTTCATTTCTAAAGAAAAGCACTACAACAATGCATATATTATTTTCCAACACTAAGATGTTAAGAATATGCAGTATACTACTTTATCACGTAAGCCTACGAACATATTTGGGTGCACTGGTGCACCCACAGAAATAAGTTGGGTGCACAGCTCCAACTTCGGGTACACTAAGGTGCACATGCATCCAGTATTTCGAGCCCTTTACAAATACATCAGTTGTCCTTGATCTGGTGTTAGAAGTACCCTAAATGTATTGTCATCACAAGGATATTGTTATGAGTATGGACAGTGTTTGTGTTATCAGGTTGCAGTATATACATGTTGTACTTTGTTCCATTGGAATGCAGAACCATGTGTTGTTGTTAAACAGTATCTGTGTCTGTCATTCCAGGCTGCCGGTGAACACAAGTACCACCCAGAGTGCTTCTTGTGCATGAACTGTGGAATCTATATCGGTGATGGGGACACATACGCACTAGTGGAGAGATCCAAGCTGTACTGGTGAGTTGTAGGCTGAAATGTTTATCATTTCTGGGTATGGAAGTATTGTTTTGGGTGGCTGATCTGTGGGTTTGTTTGTGTACCAAGTGTGCAGCAGAGACAGATGAAGGGAGAGTGGCTATTGGTTGATATTTGGTACTTGATTGGCTAAGCCTAAAGGTGGGCATTTCATGTACATGAAGGAATTCAGGCAGTGGTTGACTGAATTATAAGAATCTTGCCTGCAGTACAAAATTGTCATGAAAATCCAAAACACTTCAAGATCTGAAATCTCTGATTTCTCGTTGAAATACTGATGAAATATTACAATAATATTGAATTCTACCAACTGAAGGACAGTATGTGATGAGGTACCAAAAACATCAATCAAAATGCATTAAGCTAATTATAACCATGTTTGTCTAACTAATATTTTTGAAGAACATGACAATTTTTCAACTTCCCTCAAATTCTTGAGACTAAGCATGCTGTAAGAAAAATTTATAATTGTCATTCAATGCTGACAGGGTAATGATAGAAAAAAATAGTTTTAAAGTGATTATCGAAGAAGTTGTTTTCTCAGAACAAATTTTGTTTTGATACTGTATGGTACTTTATGTGTGATCCCTTGCAGCGGGCCCTGCTACAGACATCTCATCATCACACCGACCAATCACCAGAGGTCTCCCACTAATCACGTTCACATCCCACACACTGTGTCACTGGTGGAGGTCCAGCCAACTCCCGATGGCAGCAAGAGATTCTCCTACGAGAAAACAGAAGGGAGAAGAAAGAGCCTTCGTGTGAAGGAGTATGTTACGGTTATTTATTTATTTTCATTTAGCACATACATACATAATGGAAAATTATACAAAATAATACAAAAGAAATAAATGTGCAAGGGCAGGAAGAAAAGTCGCAATGGCTTATACAATGGTTCACTTTTTTTTGCCTCAGATCTTTAGAGATGTTTGGAGATAAATCCTTGTTACTGTCAAAGATTTAATTTCTTCAAAGTAAATTTGGGAAGGATTGCATCAGAAGTGACAATCCAATATTTACCTTTTTTTTAAATAAAAACTGTTCTTCAGCACGTCAAAGATTTCTGTTGCTGCCTTTTTGACTGTCTTAACTATTGTGGATTGAATCGAGAAAAAATGGTTCCTACTAAGGTTTGGCTGTACTGTGCTATGACTATTCATGGCTCTTAGGACAAAAAATGCAAAATTGTAAGTACTTTCACAGTATGTGCCATGTACATTAAGAAAATGGCATGACATGCACTGTATAATCTAAAGATTCAGTACTTAGTAAGTAATTGTTTTCTTAACTGTCAGGCTGCTAAGATAGATGTTTGGCACCAAATTTGTTTTGGTAAATGGGGTTAGGCAGCAGGGAGAAGGTTAATCTTTTGGATATCTTGCAGGGTGGACCCCCTCAGCCCTGATCTACACTTACAGCCAGGCGATCGTATTCTGGAAGTTAACGGTACACCTATCAAGTCTGCCACCTGGGACGAGGTAGGGGATCTCAGATTTGTCAGGATTGACTGTTTTTCTTTTTATAGAAACAACCAATTATATATGATAATTATGTTGGGGAAGAGATTGTATCCTACCAGAATTGGCAATACAACACTTCTAGAGATTGTGTCTGATTGGAGTCTTTGTTGATACATTAGAGACAATTAGAGACTCTTGAGTGTGTCGTCACCACATCTGGTGATTACATGTTGGAATAAAAAAAAATTAGAGACTCTAATTGGGCTATCTACTGGTAAAATCACGATTTTGTTCAAAAGAGACTTCTATCATGATCTCTGATTGAATTCTGAGTAATCTGACAAATCAAATTATCTCTAACATCTGTGTCCATAATATCACCATAGTCCATAATTTTCGCCACCTTGAGAAAAAGTGTGCTTAAAAATATTTTTACTGTAACATACCCTAGGTATGTACACTTGAGGTGTGCAGGAGTGCATACCAAAAGTATGTTGCAGTAAACATATCTTAAAGCACACTTTTTCTCAAGGTGGCGATATTATTGACTATGGTGATATTATGGACACGGATGTTACATGTACAGACATATGACATTATTTTGATTTTGCAGACTGGAAAAGTAGCATGATGTCCTTGTGTTCTGTAGAAATTTCTGGTTGATAGCTGAAGTTTCAATTCTTGAATCTTCCTGTGAAAAAAACTGTGCATTGAATCGTTGTTGTTTGTCTACTGCAGGTTGAAAGCATTATCCAACAAACTTCTCAGCCGCTACAACTGACTGTGGAACATGATCCACACTACAGAGAGCAGGACGGCTCGTCGGAGGGGTACTGCTCTGCACCCACCTCCCCCTTACAGAGAACAAAACTCACCAAGTCATACAGCGAGAGCCAGTGTTCCAGTCCCGAGGTGGAGGGGAAGAAAAGACGGTCACTAGAAAGAACAATGTCCATGCCGTAAGTACTGATCCTCACGATCTTACAGTTACCTCCATGAAGGGAGGTTTTGTTTTCAGTGTGTTTGTATGACAGTGTTTATTTGCTTTGTATGTGTTCATAGTTATTTGGATAAAGTAGAGTCACAGGAAGTGAGGGGGGGAAATGTTATAACCACAGACTGGCAGTAAGATTTGAATCAGAATTAAAAATGATCTGCCCACTGGCTGCGTAGAAGTGATAGTGGCATATGCACAGAATCAGCAAAAAATTCACAAGGATGAATAAAAAAATTTCAAAAAATCACTCTAAATGTTTCACAGAGGTTTATATTTGTTGATAAAAAAGGTTAATGAAAAGTTGTCATACCAGTTGGGTTAACTATAAGTGAGAGAGAATGGTTTAGAGAGAGAGAGAGAGAATGGTTTATTCAACAAAAAAAACCTTTGCAGCACAAGTGCTGAATTGCGGTTTCCTTACACAAATACGTAGTTTAAAACTTAGACTTATTAGCATTATACATTACAAACAAGTCATAAATCCTATAAAATCAACACCATCACGACTTATAGATCAGCTAATGCATTTTTTTTCCTTTTCTTTCCTACACAGTGGTTCACCAGATATCAACTACCAGGGTTGTAGGGCCCTGTCTCCAATGAGAAGAGAATTGAACAGATCAGAATCATTTAAACCTCACAAAACCAACACCAGAATTTTCCGTCCTTGTGACTTGGTGCACGGAGAGGTTCTTGGGAAGGGTTTCTTTGGGCAAGCCATCAAGGTACGTTTTTGTATCATTTATTTTTGCTGGATATTTTATATGTGAAGGGAAGGGTTTCTGCGGTGTTTTATTTCATTTTTCATTTTATTGTTTAAGCCAGAGCCTTTAGACATAAATACACATAACAGAGACAACAACATTATATACAGGAATCTAAAATACAGTGACTAGGTTAAAAAAAAGAGAAGTGGCCTATTTTTATTAGGTTTAGTTTTAGGTTAGCTGAAACAAATTTGTAGTACAGTAGTGATAGATTGGATACCATATATGATAAATTTGTGGTGGAGAGGTCACCTACAAAATAGCAAAAATAAAACCATCATTTAAAGACTTACAGAATGGTTCTATAGCCTTATCAAAAATGTGTATACTTATTTTTCAAATAACAAACATTATTTGTATAGTTACGTTTACTGTAAATTACTTTACAAATAGTTCAAAAACTGTGTATTTTATCTCAAGGTCACATTTGTGTTTTCCTTTGAAGGTCACACATAGAGAAACAGGGGAGGTCATGGTCATGAAGGAGCTTGTCAAGTTTGATGAAGAGGCTCAGAAAAACTTTCTCAAAGAGGTAAGTGCTGAATAACAGCCAGAAACAGGTAAACAGGCCTGTCCTTAGTGCTGAATAACACACAGAAACAGGTAAACATGCCTGTCCTTAGTGCTGAATAAGAACATGCCAGTCCTTAGTGCTGAATAACACCCAGAAACACATAGACATGCCTGTCCTTAGTGCTGAATAACACCCAGAAACACATAGACATGCCTGTCCTTAGTGCTGAATAACACACAGAAACAAGTAAACAGGCCTGTCCTTAGTGCTGAATAACACACAGAAACAGGAGAACATACCTGTCCTTGGTGCTGAATAACACCCAGAAACAGGTGAACATGCCTGACCTTAGTTCTGAATAACACCTAGAAACAGACACTCTCTCATTGGTGAAAACACTAATTGCCATGCTGCTATTGGTTGAGCTGCTAATTGTGATGGACAGTCAGAATCAGTTTATTGTACAAAGCACCCTGTGAACCACCTTTGCTTCTATATTTTGTTTTCTAATGATAAAAATCCAAATTCAGAATTATGTCATAAATTCTTCAGTTTGATGGCAAACATTGTTATGCTATGGAATTCAGAATCTGATTGATTTTGAGGACAGAAATTATTGCTAACTATTTTTTCTGAAATTTTGTCATTTCAGGTGAAAGTGATGAGATGTCTTCACCATTCCAACGTTCTCAGATTTATCGGGGTTTTGTATAAGGGCAAGAAACTCAACCTTGTCACGGAGTACATCGATGGAGGAACTCTGAAAGATAAACTAAAAGACATGGTGAGAAACATATATTGTTCTTAAACCTACATGTGACCTTGTGCTAGACTTCTAGCTGTTGTAATGTTGTTGTGCCTGTTTTTCTTGGAATTGATTTGATTTGATTTATTGAAATTGCAACAGTGCAATACACTTAGAACAGAGGCAGAAACAAATACAGGACAGACAATACTAATTTTCACTTGAGTTATGTGGGGAAAGACGTGGAAAGTGCCTTTCCGAAGGGCACAAGATCAGTAGCATGTCAGGATTCGAACCAGGGACCTCTTGGTTAGTGAGGGAGGGCAACCATAATTGCTTCACAAAACAAGAAATTAAAGATTTCATATCTCCATTTAGAGATCATGTTGTGAAATTCTTTTCTATTCATTATAATTGTAAATTTATTGCTGTTTCTGTGCATTTTCTACTGCTATTTCCTTCCACCCTTTGGGGAGACCATTTTGACCTCCAATTTGACCTTTCCTGTCAGTCTGTGGTTATACCATTTCCCCATTCACTTCCTATGACTCTATTTATTTAAAAAAAACTACAACTTAAGTACAAGCATACATTCAAGTAAAAGTACATGTACACAAACACACCAAAAATAAAGTCCTCTGTAAATTCAGGAGAAGAGTGGTCATGCAAGTATTGAATTTCAGGGAAATTGTAAAGTTAAACCAGAATTTTGTTGCATGTCGTATTAGTCTACAATCAGGTGTTGTGTATACTTAACATCAGTATGTTGGCCTATAATAGATATTACTCAGCCAGGCTAACATTCAAACAATATCTTTATCTGGAATTGTCATCTATAGGCTGAGCCTCTGCCTTGGATCCAGAGAGTGAGATATGCAAAAGATATCGCATCAGGAATGGTGAGTACTGTAACTTCACTTATATTCACAGTGACTTGATTCTACAGTAGTAGGGAAAAGAATGTTTTGCAGTGTTTTTTTTTTTTTAAGTTCTCAATTCTGTAATAAAGTGCAGGTTTGCCACATCATAAATTTGCCCTGGAGAAAGGTCTCCCGTAGGGTTTGATGCCCATGTCCATTTCCGTAGCCCTTAGGCGACACACAGTTGTGCAGGGCACTACAGCAGGCTACAGCAGGGGGCTAGTCCGCTGGTAGTGTTGTGTGTTTGACCCTCCCACACTCTTTCTCATATGTGCTGAGTGCTAAGTGTGTACCATAATTTTTTAAGTCTTTGGTATGACCCGGCTGGGGTTTGAACTCACGACCTCCCGGTTACAAAGCGAGCACTCTACCAATTGAGCTATTGCGCCCTGGAGAGGTCACTGCAAAAATAAAACCATTGCAAATGTTTCAAGATTTACAGTAATGTACTTGGCATTGGTAAGTCTTTGCATCAATCTTCCAGTTCCATTGGTTAATAATAATAGTGTTCTGGTACATGGATTTTCCCACATGGCTCATTTAGACAGTATGTCTCAGCCATTCATTTTCAGAGTGCCACTATATATTTGTATAGTCATTCAGCATACCCGGTATGTGATAGATTGATATAGAAAAACTTTTTTCTTAGAAGAAACTTTGATTGCTCAAGTGAGCAGAGTATCAAATCTCTATCTATTATGTAGAACTTTATTGACACAACAAAAGTACAGTGACTTTCGTAAGGTCTAAAACTGCATGTAGATATGCAGACAAATACATTGGGTAGAATGAAATTAACCTAGTATGTACAAAACAATTGATGAGTCAACTAATTACTTGTTCTAAGGTCTAAACATTTTTTATATATTTACCTAATATTTGTACACAGTAAGGGTTCTTACCTTCTATGATGAAATTAGATTTATCTATATTATATAGCATGAAATGTAACAAATTCTGTTGAGCAAGCGGAGAGAATTCGAAGGTTTAACAGCTTTGTGCATTTATCGTTATACAGTTTACAATTCAAAATAAAATGTTGTTCGTCTTCAGTATCATTGGGACAGAATGGACAATACCTCTGGTCACGGGGATATTGTTAATACTGCTGAATCATAGAATTTTGCATGTTGACTCAAAATTCATGAATTACGTGATTGTATTGTTTTTGCATGGTATGTAACTTTGTACCTTTTGTTGTTTGACTGTTACTATCTAATTTCTGATGACGATATTTCTCTTTCCTGCATTTTGAAATGTCCAGCTTTATAAAAAAAACAGTTTTGAAAATGTTACATGTATTTCTACTGCCATTTGACATGAATTGTATTTTTTGTATTCTTTAGGCTTACTTACACTCAATGGGCATCATTCACAGAGACCTGACCTCACAAAACTGCTTTATCAGACAGGTAATTTAAATATCTTTGATATTTTTTTACCGTATCACTATTTTTGTTGTATCACTACATTGATGTTTGTAATCATATATCAAACTTGAAAAGTAATATTTGCAAAGCAAATGTATAATGTTTACCTTCACATATGGTCTTCTCTGTTAATTCTTACTCAAAACACATCCACATAATATGGTGACAGGAGTCTAAATCCCTCCTAATATAAAATTGCAACATTATGTAACCCAGCACCAGTTACCATGGTGATAGACATCAACAAATCAGGTCATTGGCCAGGTCAGAGGTCACCGTTTGGAGAAGAAGAAACTGAGCAAAAACAATATGTTTTCCTTTGGTAAACATAAAAAGAATTCCGAAACTTGATGATATTATTCTTACAAACCCTTCAGGATACTCAAGAAATTGTGGTGGCAGACTTCGGACTCTCAAGAGTCATAGTGGAAGAGAAGGAGGAACGACCTCCAAACCTGAAGGCAGAGAGAAGGTTTAAGAAAGGCTCTCCTAAGAGGAAGAAGCGGTACACAGTCGTGGGCAACCCCTACTGGATGGCTCCAGAGATGCTGAGAGGGAAGAGTTACGACGAGAAAGTAGACCTGTTCTCCTTTGGAATTGTGCTCTGTGAGGTAAGGCAGTGTAAGAAATACCCATCTGGAACTTCATTCGCTAGTGCCCCCACTTCGAAAATTCTCAACAAAGACACGTCTTGCCAGTTCCACCAAAGCAAATCACCCTTTCTTCCTCCATTCACCACCTCTTAGGAGGAAGTTCCATGCTGAAAGCTTCTTTCCAAGAACAACATCACTTTGGAATAAGCTACCTCGTGATTGCTTCCCCTATGAGTATAACCTTAAACTCTTCAAGTCAACAAACATCTGTCCACTCTGGCTGTTCTGTAACCCAAAACATTTTAAGTGGCTCCCATGAGCCTTGTTTTGTGGTGACCGATGAAGTAAATAAAAAAAAAATCTGCAGACTGAGACATTTTCAATGTTGCAGAAGAAAAATTAAGCAACCTGCAATTTTGCAGACTGAAAAAATCAGACTAGGGGTTCAATGGTGTATATACAAGTAATTTTTAAATGTAGCTTATTTTTAAATGCAAATAAATTCCAACATGCCAACATATTATGTTCTAAACCCAAGCTAGTTACTCATTTTCACCTGAATCAAGTGAGGAAATAGGTGTTAAAGTGCTGTTCTTAATGATACAACATTGGAGCCTACCATTGAAGTTGTCTTCTTCTTCCTTAATTTTAATGCCCACAATCATCATACTGATCATTCTGGCATGCCAATTCTTGGCAAGATTCCGGATTGTAGAATTTGTACCGGGGCATGCCCCTACTCTTTTTTCGAAAGGTGTGGTGGGATCTTTAACGTGCATAGGGTGTGGCTCTCCCCAAACACGGGACCTCCATTTAACGTCCTATCCGAGGGACGTCCCTATAACCAAAGCTAGGTACTCATTTACACCTGAGTGAAGTGAGGAAAGTCGTGTAAAGTGCCTTTCCCAAGGGCACAAGATCGGTGACATGGGTGGGGATCGAACCCAGGACCTCTAGGTCCTGAGCCGATAGCGCTACCGCTGCGCCACACGACCCCACAGTCTATCCATTATATAACGTACGGGATGGAATATTTATGATGAAAAATTTTGTTGTCCTAGGTTACGTATTCTCTGGAAACTGATTTGGGGATGGTTAAACTGTAACTTAATAAGATCATGATTGAATTACATGTTAACGACATATAGCAATCATTAGTATTACTGGTATACTAAGTTAAGCATGATAATCGCATATGGCACCAATCACCATTGATAACATTAAAATCATCCTTCACTACATCTTTTGAAATAACAACAGAAACACCTTTCGAATACTCTCCATATCGAGACAGTTTGGTTAAAGCAATTTTCGATAACGCAGTTATTTTATGAAGCGAAAGACACTTATTGCCCAGGGCTCGAAATACTGGGTGCATGTGCACCTTAGTACACCCAAAATTGGAGCTGTGTACCCAATTTTTTTTTCTGTGGGTGCACTGGTGCACCCAAATATTTTTGTAGGTATTTTTGTACATATGAAATGTATAATAGTATACAGGATAGTCTTGGCATCTAAGTGTCAGAAAAATAGTAAATTCTTTGTTTAGGATTTTGAAGTTAGCCCCCATTTTAGATTCAAGCTCATAAGAAGAGCAGTCAAGATCTGTGATTAGGTTTTGTTTTACATGGTGCACCCAGAAAATTTTTGTGCACCTAATTTTTTAAGTTGGGTGCACCAGTGCACCTGTTTCCAAAAATGAATTTCGAGCCCTGTTGTTACATAAATGTGCATGATGTTAATGCATACAACATTACAGACAACGTGACTACTCTATGTCAGCTGTGTGTGGGTGGGATTGATAAAGGAATAAAAAGTTAAGCTCGTTTCCAGTGGGCTAATTTCCTGTCTCCACAGCAGGTGGAATTTCAAAGCTTGTTTACTGGAAGTCTGCTGATTTGATTTGTACATTCTGCATGGCAACAGGCTATGGGATGTTCCATTCAAACGTTGGGGGTGTACAATTTTTTTTCCTTTTGATTTTAAAATAAACTGAGGGAAATACTTTAGACATGTATGCGTGCACTGGAATTAAAAGAGGCTCAGTCAGACATGTTGCCAAATTTGAAAAGAGGATTTAGGGACAAATACTACTTTTTTGTCCGTCTTATATCCCAAATGGTCCCTCCTCAAAATTCATGTTAGCTTTGCGTATGTCACAGCTGTTAGTGGCTCTGTGGGATGGGTGGGAGTAATGAGGGACTGCATGGGGGGATTCTGAAAATGCTTGAAAAATGCTTGAAGTGACTGCAAATAAACTTACAGTGTTTGTACCAACAGAAAGCATTTCAGCACTAAGGACAGGACTAGTTTTTTGTACCTTAAAAAATCTTTTTGTGTTAGTTCTAATGTCATAATTTTTAGCGTCCCAACAATGCCAGCCATATTGTTACTGACATGGCAACTTTTATTTATGATTAAATCAAGTGCTAGCAAGAAATGACATTTCAGACTTTAAATTTTGCGCAGTATGAAATCCTCAGCTTCCTGAATACCCCAAATTCCTTCTGGCAGGTGGTCTCTGAGACTTTTGACCTCCTATCATTTTGCCTGTCCATCCTCCCACCCATTTTCTATCAACCTACTCTGTCCAAATCTGGAACAACAATCCCGCAAGTCAGCCATCCAATATATCGCTTCCATATCTGGAGGTAATGAGTTGTTTGTTAGTTCAAAGTTTAAATTTGATCAGAGTTTGTTTAATTTTTCATAATTCCAGATAATCGGCAGAGTGAATGCAGACCCAGACTACCTCCCCAGAACGGATGACTTTGGGCTGAATGTGGAAGTGTTCAGGTCCAAGTTCTGCGATGATTGCCCCTCCCCATTCTTTGAGGTTGCAGCCATGTGTTGTGAACTAGACCCTGAGAAAAGGTGAGATAGATTTCTTTCTTTCTATAGGACTACAGGTTTTCTTTTATTCTCTGTTGAAAGCATTGAATGAAATGTAAAAATGTAAAAAAAATAATAATCTAATATCTTGGGTTTTTTTGTGTGTGAATTTCTTGCTGATTCTCTCTATGTTTTTCCCACTATAGCTCCCAAGTGCCGATGGATATGCATATATAACAGGAAATTGAAGACAGGAAATGAGATAACCTTTTCTGGGACCTTTGATCTAATTTCCTGTCAGTGTCTATCATGTGGAAATAACTACTTAGCAAAGAAAACACAAGAAAACACATAGACACCAAAAACAAACCAGCTGTACACAGAGGTATTTATGGCTTCACCACAAAGTGGTGAAGACATATTGTGTTCCCTCATGTTTCTTCTTCTCCTTCTCCTTCTCCTCCTTCTCCTCCTGCCATTTCTTTAAATGGATTCATCTCTGCCATTTTCAGGCCAAATAACACGAAATTTGGCATGAAGGTAGAGTGGGCAAATACCCTGACGCGTTTTTTTCATTTTTTTGAAAAATTGTTTTATTTGGGTTTTTTGGCCATTTTCAGGCAAAAAATATACATTTTGAGATCTGGTTCCCAGGTACTAAAACCAAATGACCTGAAATTTGGTATGGGGATACCTTGGACACATGTCCAAAGAATGTCATTCTCAATTTTGACATACACCACTTTAAAGTTATGTAAAATAGGGCTTTTTGGCTATTTCTGGCATTGGAAGGTTCCATTGCTGCATGGGGGTGTAGACTATTGGCAGCCATTGTAGGATAGATCCATTTTCGGTATGGGGGATGTGGTGAAGCCATCTGCTGCATTTGCTCTCAAGCAAATGTCGGCCTTTCTAGTTATAATATATTACTTGACCATTGCTGACATTAGAAATATTTTTTTTGTACTTCCAGACCAGACTTCTATCAGGTGGAAAGCTGGTTCGAGTCGTTGTGTATGCACCTGGAGCACGGCATTCCGCTGTCGTCGGAGCTGAAGTGTATCCAGGCCAGCGGCCAGCCCAGCTATCCTGACCAGGGTGCTGTTTTCATGCCTAGTATAACGGTGATGTTTGATGATGATGTTATCAACCTATAGTTACCCAGGTCTTGCCAAGGAAACGAATTGCATCTTAAAGGCATCCAATGCAGTTTTTAGGGCTTGGAAACCAGATTTTTCAAAGTCCATATTCTAGTCACTTATCTACATGAGTTGAAACCACACTATCCCAATGAATATTGACTCTCAAGGAGCAAAAAATACCCAAAATTGTGACAGAAAACGGTTACTGGAAGGGCCCTGGGCTGATTTTTAGGGTACCACCCATAAAATAAAGGACTCATCTTTTGGCTTGTTTTTGCAGTCTTAAATACCCAAAGTATGCTATACTGTTTGAAATGTGCTAATGTGAATCAGTATGTGTCAATATCATAAAGATTGCCTTCTTCGAAATACAGTATTTCTGTACTGTACATGTATTTCTGGTTGTGCTGCTCTGAAATCGCATTGGATGCCTTTAAACTATCTCATGACAATGGCCTGTATGGTCCTAAGACTGTGTGTATGTCCTGCTTGATTGTATATCTGTCTCTATCTATCTCTCTGATATATTCAGATGTGTTCCAGATCTGAGATACACTGGCTATAGTTAGTATTCAAGACTTAACTCCATAGTCTCTAAATGTTTGGCAGAATGCCTGTTTCTTGCAGATTACGAAAAGTGCAAGCTGTAGATGTAATTGTAAGTAAATGTAAGATTGTTTTCTTGACTGTTATATTCCTTCTATGTTAGGCAGCTGTCTTTTCTTTCCTGTGATCCTACGATGATCCTACAACATGTGACCAGACAATTAACCAGTAGACTTCTAGACTGTATCTGTTTGAAGTTTCCACTTCTCTGTACAACTAGTCTGTTTGGCTGAAGTTTTCATCTTACTTCTATGTACAACTACCACAACTTCGTAAACTAGACATGCTTGTTATTCAATAGTGACCTTAAGTGAACATTCATATTTTATTTTCATCATAATTATGGTGCTACGTGTATACAAAACCCTCGAGGTTTACGCTAAATCTTAATTGGGCTGGCCCCGCTAAGACCTCTGACAAGCAGAGGCAATTTAACGTGGAACAAGACTTCCTGCGTGAGCCATTAGTCGTCATGTGTGAGAAAGAGCACCGGTGTCCTATTAGGTAAATTCCATCCACTCCATCAAGCTGTCAAGTAAAGTTAACTTTTGAAAGTTGTGAATTTGAACAAGAGTTGTGGAAACACAGTGCACAGATTTGCTCTCAAATCAAAACTTGGTAGTCCTTTGCAGTTGAAGATGACTGAGTGTTAGTGTGTGAAGGATTTCCAGGTTTTGACTTGAGTAAATCTGAGGCCACACCAATTTTATTTGTTCTTTCTCAGATCCTCCCTGTCCATGTTTTTTTCTGATTTACAACAACAACAAAAATATTTTAGGTTCTGAATCAACTGCGAAATGCTCAATGAAAAACATATACATTTTGGCCCCAACGGTTGAAGAAAGTCCTTTTCTTCTTAGTTGTTACAGTTTTTCAATGTAACAATGCAACTTTGTTAAAGTCATTAAAAGTTCAAAATCTATATTAATTGTTCTGATTATAAACCAGCCTGGTATGTTGACCTCATGGCTCATATCGTAACATTTCCGGCCTTCATGGGGTGCCTTTTTTTATTTTTATTTTGCCCTGTTGCTTCATATTTTTTCTGAAAAAAATCAGAAAAACAACAAATTAAATTGGTGTGGCCTGAGCAAGACTTGTGGAAACACACAGTGCTCATAGAGACTTGTGGAAACACAGATTTGTGGAAACATACTGCTCAGACTTGCTCAAATCAAAAGCTGCTATGAAAATTGTTACCGAAATGATAGCCTTCTTTGCAGACTTCTTGGCATTTATTTTTTGTGTGGAGCACTGATACCCGATTTTTTTACTTGCATACGGTTGCGGCAAAGGGTCAGTTATGCTACGGGCGGAGTTACGGCTCTCCTAGTGCAGGCAATACAGCTCTCTCCATGAATACAGTACTCCATCGCCACAAAACTCTTCCCTGAAAAGAAATTGCCACTCTTGCGACTGCACAGGAGGCTAGTAGACTGAAATGATGCAAATCCAGTGGCCCACTCAAATTTTAAAAGACAATCTTGCAGATGATACAGCTTTTTTAATACTAAGTACTAGTTATTGTTATGACATGACAGCAGGGCTCGATTCTTTTTTTAGGGGGGGATCAAAACTTACTGCCTCTCCTCTAGCTTTAATCTGAATTTCTAAAGCTAACTTCAAAATTAAAACAAAATTATTAATGATACAACAAACTCTATTAATAAAGGTTTTGTCATTTTTCTTCAAGAATGTTTTGCATAGGAGATACCCATAGTAAAATATAACTCCTATGCCCAAATACCAAGAGGAAGGTGCACTGATGTGTCATGTATATAAATGTCATTAAAGGTACAAGGTGCTAGCAAAGTTGACAAAAAGTTTTTGCCAATTGCTAAGAAATTGGCCTGCTGAGACAAAACCTTTGACATGGTTCGTGCACTGGGATATCAAATTTAAACACTGAAATGAAAGAAAAAGACACTTATACCTTAGGTCAAGAGACAGGGAGGTAAACTACTGCATGTACTTTGCCAAGGTTTGTCAACTTCTACTTACATCTAATTCAGCAAATTTTCAATGACTGAATCTGTAGTAGTTGAGTGTTAAGCTTTTAGAAGTTTACTTTTATGATTTCTGCAATTTTTCTGAAAGTTACAGCATTCAGATAATTTGCTAGGAAATGTACAGCAGTGACTACATTCAAATGAGTGTAGTATAAGGATTTAGGTAGGATATTTTCTTCATGTCCACCACTCAAAATGACAAAACATGTAACAAAATTATACGGGTACAGGTTTAACTTCTCATTCAGCATCATAATTACCTCATATAGAAATGCCTCAAATACAAAATGTATCAGGTTTGACATTGATCTAACAGGTTTGACAATGTGTGTACTTCGCAATGCTTAATGCTATTCAGACCAACAAATATGATATTTTATTTCTTTAACAGAAACGTTTTTTTTTAACCTTCAGCCTGCTAAGGTACTACCATTTGGCACCAGATTTGTAATGGTTATGCAGCAGGGAGATGGTTAATTCGTATGTGGAAGATTCATGACCATTCCCCTGATTTAAAAGACTTGTTATGAATTGTTCAGTTTAATGTTGAGCCAGTATGTGTGTTGTGAAGCTAATTTCACACAGTCTTACTAGTCTTACAGTACTTAGTGTTGGGTTGTCTAATAGTATGAATTTGTGAATTCCTTGGCAGGAACATTGTCTTATAAGAAGAAAAAAACTGCTACGTTTGAATGTGCAATATTCAGAGCAATGTTTGTAATATTGTATCAGTTAGATGGATTCTCTAAGTGTTAACAAGATTATATTAGCCAGTGCTTTCAGGCTGTATGTAAAAATAAAGGTTCTGAATGTGTGACAAGAGCTTTAGGCATAATACAGACTGACATATTCAGAACTTGTAACTTCATGTACTGGCGAAGGTTAAGAAAAAGTCTGCTTCAGAGTCTATAGAGTGTACACTTTATAGTGGACTATGAATTGGGTGTATTTTGCTATTCTTGTCAGTAACAATTGCACCATTGTCAATAATGTACTATCATAGATTTGTTGAATGCAAAGCTTATAATAAGTATAAATTGCAAAAACAGTCTGGCTGGACTAAAATGCTTGAAGTGAAGATTATTTTATCATGATGATAGATTTTGTATTTCAGGCTATTGTACAATCATGAAAGATTCTGTGGAAAATTGAAATGATTCAGAAAAAAAATGTGTGGAAAAAATTAATGCTACTTTGAAGCCATTCAGCACAGATAGTATTTCCATGACCTTCAAATTATTTGAGTGTATTTATTTTCAAAGGAGTTTGAAGCCTTTGTATTAGAAGATAGACACACGCTGTGTGCTTTGTATTGTGAACATATCTGTTCATCTGTTGGCTGAAAGAATAAAAAGCTGATATGTTGCAAAGAGTTAAAATGTCTCTTTCCATACTTTTTTCACAGTTGTATTTTCTAACCATCAGAAGATTTAAAACACCTTGATTACATGGATAACATCTTACGCATAAATATTTCGAATATTTTAAAAACTTTGACAATTTAACACCATTCTAGACTACAGTACCATAAACCATATTATATGCTGCAAGTTGCCAAAAAGAAATAGTAGAAAACGGATGCTAGTATTGTAGAATGTCTTTTATCTATCAGAATATTTTGCCATTTACATCAGGACAACTAGACTGAAAGAAATGTGTCCTAAGAGAAGAATTCAATGTCATAAAAGAAATGAAATATAGAAATTATTGTTTGGTATTATGTTACCTGAGTTTGAACCTTCAACCTTCCTGAAGAATTAGATTTCATAAAAAGTCAATATTCACTTTGTACCCTGTGTGTATCTTCACTTTGTACCCTGCTTGCTGGAAACGAGGTGACTGTCACCTCGTTCGTTTCCAGCAAGGAGCCGACCAAATTAAACGGCTGCATCTGACAACATGGTGGCCTTAAAGCGCCGATCAGTGACCGTTGGCAGTACTGCATTCATTGGCTTCCAGCCACCGTACACAAACAGGCTGCATCTTTACCGTCACATGGCCTAACCATGGAGGTAGAAAAAACCTCCATGGCCTAACTCAAGGTAACGTTACATGTACCTCAACAGTATACTCAACAGACATATCTGACACATCATCTATAGGAAGTGTGAAATTCATGACATTCAAGCTAGTCCCAGTGGGGTCCAATACATATGTCTGGCGCGTTCGCGGCAGCATAAAGCCTCAGGTGTGAGTATGCGGCAAGCGTCGCTTCAAAGGATCATTGTTTCATCCCGCTGCAGTCATTGTTTCATGTCGCTAGACGTTGGCATTCAACAACTTTGGCACTACAATGGAGGGTCTGACAGTTGGCATTCAGACAAGTTGTTTTTGAACCTTACCGCTATTTCAATAACAATAGACTTATCCCGTATTACCCCCTCCGTCCAAACTTCGAAGTGTGAGAAAAAAGCCTAAAAATGCAAATTTGTGACACACAAGCAGCCACTCCCTCATTGGTCGAAGCACTAACTGTCGTCCTATCATTGGTTGAACTGCTAATTGTGATTGACATCCTTGTTAGGATCGGTCGATTGAAGCATATTGGGAACAGATCGTTTGCGAGGCTTGATCGACTTTGCT